AGAGTTGATTTTTCTTGACCGGAATTTTACAGCCCGTTAAATTCTTTCCCTATTTTAAACGAAGCTCAGTTTTTGTATCTGTTAAAACCAACTGTTGAAAATAGAAAATCTTAAAAAAGGGAGTAAAATATCCTACATGAAATCTTTATCGTAATAAATTTTGGTGTATGCAAAAGGAACAAGATTATTTGGAGAGAAAACCAAAAAATATATTTCAGAAAAAAGGTTCTACAACAAAATTATGCGAGATTAAAATTAACAGCTTAAAAACAACGTGTAATGGAAGAAGAAAAAGCAGAAAAAAAAAAACTAGTTGCCCTCGATCTTCTTCAATCTTATTTCTTCTTGTATTTTTCTTTTCCTGAAATCAATTTCTGTTTCATTTTGACATAGATTAATTTGAACGATGAATTCTTCTTTGTTTGAAGAATAATTGCATAAAATAAATCAATTCAGAGAAAATAAATCAATTCATCTATCAAAATTTCCTTCCATTTTTTAAATGATCATTTTTTACATTATCATAGCTATGAATGGAAGCAAATTAACTATTTAAATGGAATTACGAAACGGCTATTGAGCAAATTATAAATACAATGGGTGAATAACCCATGATCATGAAATGGCACATTATCATTATTACGGTTAGGAAAAATACTATCATAACGGATAATCTGATAATAATAAATTGATGATGCATAACTAATTAACATGATGGATTAATTACGAAGATCAATCATGTGTTTATCCAGTTAACGATTAATTCTTACTACTACAATAATTATTAAGATAATGCAGATTAACGTACTGTGATCATTATTATGAATGCAATTGCAACTGTTATAATAATTTCGACTTTTACAAACCAAATTTCGAATGTAAAAGTTCAAAAAAAAAGAAAAAAACTTGCAGAGATAGAATACTAACAACCAAGTATATATCTGAAAAAGAAAACATTAACCGCTTCATATCGTTGCTTATCCTGGCTTGCCATCTTCTCGTATTTGCTCTTATCTTTTACTTTACCCCATTCGATACCTGCTGCCTTGCTCACATCAATGACAGACATACCAGGCTTCGCTATACGTGAACGATTTTCCAACAACCAGAACATGTAAGCTGACTTTGCTCGTTTTGGTGCATTCGGATCCTGCAAAAAGATCTCGGAAAATACGGCAGGAAACGACCTGAAAATAACAAGTATCACGCAATGATCCGACTAGTTTTAGAAACAAAACAACCATTGTTTTGCTAAAATATTACATTAAGTCTAAATTTATGAAAGTAGAAAAAAAACAAACAAACAAACAAATTACTCACTTTAACTTTTTTCGCCTTCTTTTGCTTTGATGTTGATGCTCCGCTCGACCTTTTGCCGGTCTTCTTTGATCCTTTCGATCCTGTCTTAGCCATGATGACTGACGATTGTTAGTTGTATGGTAAGTAGTTGGATGAAAACTTTGAAATTCTGAAATATTTGAAAAAATAAACTTTTAAAAATTTTTGAAACTAGACAAAGGCAACAAATGTACAATGCAAGAAAATGTAATCTTTTAAAAATTACTACTGCAAAGTAGATAATAATAAAGAATAAAAACATTCTCGACTAAATAATATAAATTAAAAATTGTCTCCAACATAAAATTAAAATGAGATGGAAAGAAAATAAAAAATAAATCTGATAGGGAAATAATGTGGATGACCTTTTTTTTGTTAATAACGATGACCAAATGTAACCGGTGAAATGTCATTTTAAACTGCTACTTACTCACTAAGGACTCTAATCTAAACTGTATAAATACAAAATGAACTCTATCGTAACATCAAGTTAAGATGGGAAGAGAAATGAATTTGTGATGTTGTGAGTGACCTCTGTTATTCATAATGATGACCAATTGTAACCGTTTTAAGTAAGCATATATGGGAAGAGAATGACCATGTGAAAAGTGTGATGAAAAAAAGATGAGAGAAGAAGAAATTAGCTATAAATTCATATACCTAACTAATGCTACTATTATTTTATACCTGTTTAAGACAAAAAAAAAGAAAAGAAAAGAAAAAAAAACCGCCCAATGAAAGAGGAGAGATAACTGAATTCAGAGAAAAAAAAAAAAGAAAGAAAAAAAAATGAAAAACGATATATGATGTCTTGTGGTTTGTGCAAAAAGTGGAAAATGCGGACATCTGCGAAATGACAACATCGAAAATATTATGATTTAGGCGGAGATTTAGTGAAATATAGAATGAGGAAAATGTGAAAGTTCAAAAGAAAAGCAAGTAAAAGATAATAGTTATATGGGGGAGATTTAGAGAAATCCTGTATTTTGCAAGCAACCTTTGACCCATTTATATATATATATCCAAATGACCAGTAGTAATAGCTAGTGAAATTATTGGCGGGTTAGTGTTGTTATAGTAGAGCATTTTTTTTTTTTTCCATACAATATCTCATTATCTCATATATAAATGTGAACCAAAATGAATCAAACATTGACCCAATGTAGCAAAGAATTGATTTTATTCAAATATAACAAATAATTTTATTAATAAAATAGGCGACTTTTTCATAACGCAATATATTTAATTTTAAATATTTCATTACGAATATTTGCATATTTAATTCATAATATAATTATTGTAAAAATCAAATTATAAATTTGATTAAAAAGGAAAAAAGTTAATTTTATTAAAAATATAACCATGGATAAAATGTGATATTATATTAGAAGAAAA